CCCCGCGGCGTGGTCGGCTCGCTGGCCTTGCCGCACCCTGGCACCGTGGCGCTGGAAGGCCCGCAGTGCGGCTTCCCAGCCTTCCCGGCCTTTCGTTCAGGGTTGGTCTACTTCTTCTTTCCCTAGCCAGCTGGGATTTCCAGGCAGGCCTGCTCCGTTTTATCACTTCCCATTTTTAGCAGTTTATTAGTCAGCGAGTCAACACCGGCCTATGTGGGGCTTCCTAAATTAAGGCTTGGCTGTGGTCCACAGGAAAGCCAGGCCATGTATATATGCATTCCTGTGCCTCGTGCTCACTGGAAACCACCCTGCAGAAAGGACTGTTATAATAGCTCATATTCTTCGGTGAGGGCAGTTCCATCAGAGTCACTGTCAAATGTGAACCTAACATTTATATTCGCAAATAGTGTTATTACCTTGACCAAAGGGTGCTTGAGCAGATGCATCAATGAGGAGCCCTACTTATTCAGGAAGTAGGGAAGGGAAGGAACACGTGCTTTGCTGACATTTCCACATGGAGGAAGGGGCCCAGCTCTGTGGCTCATCCTGGTGTTTTATTCCAGTTTTCACTTCTTGTCTGGACCGAGCAGTTCTGTGAACTTGCAAGAACCACTTCCCTTCCAAGGTCTTGTTACACTCAAAATAATAATAAAAGGTAACAGCAAAGCCTTACCTGGCTAAAGGCAGGTGCTAAACTAGATGATTTCCTGGGGCCCTGGCCAGGATTATAACCTGTTGCTCCTTGAAGCCACAAACACACCATTGGTAAGGACATGGGATCCCTCATTCTCCTGGGAACAAATCTCAACATCATTGTTAGTACTAAGTATTTGACCTGGGGAAAGATCATTCTCACTGTGGTATCTAGTGTGGTCAGGCGTTGCACAAATGCCAGTGGCCTTGCCTTCCCTGTGGTCAGCGCCTGTCTTCCATTAGCCTAAAGTCATAAGCACAAACATCAGTGACTCTAGTGGGTGGAGAAAGTTTCACATGGAATCTCTCAAGTGCTTTAGCTAGGGGCTGAATTTTATCAGTATTTTCGTAGGCTTCGTAACCCCTCACCCAATAATATAAAGGCACACAATCATATTCTAGACTACTGGAACTTCCATAAGTGGGAGTATCTGTCATGGACACCATGTTTTTGTTTTTGATGAATGGCGAATTTTCAAATCACGATAAAACATTTCAATTCTTTTTACTCTACACATAATTTCACAGTTAGATTTAACAATGCAGATTATCCACAAATTGTTTAAATTTGATTTTGGGCACTTCTTCTGTCTTTTTGTTGGATTTGAGATATGAAAAAGGGAAGCATTTCTACATGTTTGGTTCTTTCCATACTGTATTGGAAGACAAACTCATGGCGCTGGGGTCTTTAGACCGTACACTCCCTTGCCTCTGGGCATATCAGAGGTAATAAAATGGACTTTATATTTTTCCAAGAATATTGGGTCTAGTTATACAGGTACTGGGCTTTTTTCTTTAGCCCACAGTGTGATTATTAGATCTCTCAAAACCAGGGTATTTTTTTCTTATTGGATCACAGGCTTTGGTAAGAAATGACTTTTATAAGCTGAGGGTATATATGATTTATTTTTGACTATAATTTTAACTACCTGTTAATATTGTGGATAATTTCATTACCCTATTTGATATGAAAAGAAAAACCATCATCAATGAAATACTGTTTTCCTTTTTTAATGCTGAATAAACAGTCATTTATTCTTTTAACAAATATGTAACCAAGCACCTATCATAGATGAGAGCTGTGTGTTAGGCAGGCACCAGGGACATAGATGGTAAACCAAACACATGCCTTCTCCTGACCAAATTTACTGTCTAGTAGAGTGGACAGTCATTAATCAAGTAATCATACATAAAAATTTGTGCCATTCCAATTTTTTAAATCGTTATTTTAAAAGTTATTTATTTATCAAGATTTATTTATGCATATAAGAACCAGGGTGCAGGCCAAAGGTGCAAGGGTTGAAAGATTCCCCAGAGACAGAGTGGGGAACAAAACAGGGGATATACTGACATACACGGGAGCAGTGGGCAGGGCAGGAGAGGTCTGCTGCACCATGTGGGCATCTCCCTGGCCTGGGATCGGTCATGCTGCAGTGGCTACTGGTAGCTTTGTCATGGTGTGCTTTAATCTCTTGTGCACCAGGGAGGCCCCAAGTCCAAATATTTTTTTCTAGAGTATATACTTAAAGTGCAACTATTGGATTAGAAGGATATGTGGCTTTCCTAGACATTGCAAAGGTGCCCTCAATGTCCCACACACACTAGTCACTGCTGACCAGTGACAGTTTCACAAATTTCAAGTCTGATAGTTTCTTCATTTTTGCCAGTCTGCTTAACAAAAATGACACCTTTTTAAAAATTTGGATTACAGTGGCTAGTAAGGTTTGAAATCTTTCTACATGATCATTGGCCCATTTAGGATTCATCATATGGCTCTTACTTTGGAGAGTTTTTTTTTTTTTTAAAGATTTATTTATTTATTCATACAGAACTGGGGTACAGGCCAGTGATGCAGAGGGTGAGAGGATTCACCAGAGACAGAGTGGGGAGCAGATCGACAAAGTACACTGCTGAGGGGAGCAGCGGGCGTGCAGGAGAGGTCTGCCACGCCATGTGGATCTCCTCTGGGGCAGGTGGGGATCGAACTCATGCGGAAGTGGCTTTAGCTTCTCAGAGCTGTGCTTTAACACGCTGCGCCACCAGGGAGGGCCGCCTTGGCGAGTTTTAAACCTCAAATTGGAACTCTTTCCCTAGGAGGGGGTTTAGAAAGTACAGTCTTATCTAACTGGCAGAGCTGACAGCAGCCTTTCCCAATGTGAAGCCTTCAGTGGCGTGGTGAATAAGGTTGCCTTTGACAAAAGTTGTGAAATGTAATGACGGAGTCTGTCATAATATGAGCAATCTCTAATTTATACTTACCATTCCCTAAGCTCTATGTCTTATAAGTCACACCCACTTCTGAATTACTTCAAAACATTGTATGTTCCCTTCTAGTGAATGGTATAATTAGCTATATTATGTCTTTCTAGAAAGTTATATTATGTCCCTTTAAAAAAAAATTAACCAGTGTGTGATTGCTTATGTTCAAGCAGATGTTGAGGTAATGAGGTAATTCTCCTTTTGTCTTTTTTTGGGCTTTATTTTATTGGACTGATTGACATCTTTAATGCATGGAGAAATAGCAACTTGGGGTACTATTTCCGATGCATATTCCATAGCACCAAAATGGACATTTCCCTTACAAAACATCATACAATTTGTTCCCTCTCTAGAATTCTGCTGGAAAATGATAGACATCGTCCAGCATTTGTTTAAGGTACTTGATTTCCTTTGCATTTCATTCCGCTCATACACATTGAATATTATAGCCAGGCACTGTGCTAGGCATCAGAGATATAGAAGTAATAAGGCCTTGTCCCTGCTGGCGAGGCGTTCCCAGCCTAGCGACTGTGGTAGGCTTGTGAATTCCAGTAAGAGTCTAACTTGGCCTATTTTGGGTCATGGACAACAAATGAACCAAGAGTCAAGTAAGTAATTTCAGGAAACTTCCAGTGTCCCTTTGACTTCCAGGTTAGAAAATGGCAGGACATTGTTTTTTACCTAGGTTCTGAAATGATTGCCTGTCACAATGAAATTATCAGTCTGGAAAGCTGGAGCTTCGTCAGTTTTGGAGCCATGTGAAGCCACTCAACAGGGGGCAGTTATTGGCTCAGTGGTTGCCGTGGTGTCAGACGCAAACTTGGCTTTTAAGCACAGGTTTCCCAAGTGCAGTCCAGGGGCCAACGAACCAGGGCACATAGGTACTTACTTAGTTACTCACATGTTTTTAAATAGATGAAAAGGTAATGCA